GTGGTGTCCCACGAGGATCAGAGTTAGGGCCTCAATTATATATGTTATTTATTAACAACCTAGATAATGACATAGAAAGTCATATCTCCAAGTTTGCTAACAACACAAAGTAAGGTGGCACTTTAGACAGTGTAGATGATAGTATAACATTTCAAAGGGATATCAATAGACCAAGTGAATGGGCAAAACTGTGGCAGATGGAGTTCAATGTGAGCAAATGTGAGGCTATCCGTTTTGGACCAAGAAAGAATAGATTAGAGTACTTTCTGGATGGTATGCCACAGGGGCTCAGTGGTTAGCACTGCTGCCTCACAGCACCAGGGCCACAGGTTCAATTCCACCCTTGGGTGACTGGTCTGTGTGGAGTTTGCACATTCTCCCTGTGTCTGTGTGGGTTTCCTCCCACAATCCAAATATGTGCAGGTTAGGTGGATTGGCCATGGGAATGTAGGGTTACAGGGATAGAGTAGTGGGATGAGTATGGGTGGGATGCTCTCAGGAGAGTCGGCGTGGACTTTATGGGCTGAATGGCCTGTTGCAACACTGCATAGATTCTACAAAAAACAGTATGAAGTTAAACACAGTAAATGTCCAAAGAGACTAGAGGGTTCAGGTGCTTAGATCTTTAAAATGTTGTAACCAGGTCTAGAAATGACTCAGGAAAGCTAGTGCAATGCTGGTTTTTATATCGAGAGGACAAGGATGCAGAAGTTATGCTGCAGTTACACAAAACTCTGGTTAGAGCCCACTTGCAAAACTGTGAGCGGATCTGGGTACCACACCTTAGGAAGGATTATTGGCCTTAGAGGGAGTACAATGTAGGTTTGCAAGAATGATACCTGGACTTCAGGGGTTAAGTCATAGGAAGAGATTATACAAATTAGGCCTGTTTTTCTCTAGGATTTAGGAGGATAAAGGGGTGATCTGACTGAAGCATTTAAGATATTAACTAGAAAAGACGGGAAAGAAAAAGTCAAACTATTTTCACTGGTTGGGGATTCTAGGGGACGTAGTCAGAGAATGACGGCCAGACAATTCAGGAGAGATAGTAGGAAGCATTTCTACACACAAAGGACTGGAGAGTTTTGGAGCTCTCTTCCACCAAAGGCAGTGGAAGCTGGATCAGTTGTTGATTTTAAATCTGAGGAGGAGAAAGTTTTGTAAAGCAAAGATATTAAGGCGGGTTTATGGAGCTAGGCCACAGATCATCCACGATCTCAAAGAACGGTGGGCTAGGTTTGCTGGGCTGAATGGCCTACTCCTGTTCCCGTGTTTTTGAACTGCTGCCATCATGGAGTGGAGGAACATTCACAGTTCTATTGGAGGGGGAGCTCCAGGATTTTTGACCCAATGGCCCAATTTTGACCGTGTGTGACTGCGATCAGGCTTTCAAAAAGAGCTTACATTGCTGGTGGGTGTAGAAATGAGGGGACGAGTCCTTATTAAAGTGTGGACTATGCCTTGGCCAGTTTAACAGGACCTCCAAATCTGAATGGAATGTACTGCATGCAGAGTACCGGTTTTGGCTTTGTTTGGATTGAATGCACTCAGTGGTTTCCTGGTGAAGCCGCCTTTCATCAATGCAGAGTACTTTCCATCCTGTGACTATTATAGTGCAATCAAGTGACCAGGCCATTAACTGGGCCCTTCAAAGTGAAAGTAAACAACATGTGTGGAACGCCTACCTCATTTCCACAGCAAACTTACCACTGGCTTAATTGTAACTCCCTTAAATTGCAGCTCCCAAACAGCTGGATTCACAATCCCTCACCACCAGTTTCCTGAGTACTTCCCAAAGACCACTTTTCAAACACTGAAAGTTTCAGCGCTGAGAGAGGCCAGTGACTCCTGGTTTATGAGGGAGCCACTGCCTGTGAGACAGAAGGCCAGGGGCTCGGGTCCTGCTGCAGGGTCTCGGCTGAGAGTCGGGAGTGCCTTCCCTCAGAACATGCTTCCTGTGGATGCAAAGGTCACCATTAATGGAGACTAACTTTCAGTTCCACATTTATTAAGTGAATTCAAAATGCACAATAGAATCATAGAGATGTACAGCACGGAAACAGACCCTTCGGTCCAACTCATCCATGCTGATCGGATATCCTAAATTAATCTAGTCCCATTTGCCAATATTAGGCCCATATCCCTCTAAACGCATCCTATTCATGTACCCATCCAGATGCCTTTTAAACGTTGTAATTGTACCAGCCTCCACCCCTTCCTCTGGCAGCTCATTCCATACACACACCACCCTCTGTGTGAAAAAGTTGTCCCTTAGGTCCTTTTTAAATCTTTCCCCTCTCACCTTAAACCTATGCCCTCTAGTTTTGGTCTCTCCTACCCTGGGATAAAGACCTTGACTATTCACCTTCCCGTGCAGGTAGAGAGCTGCTCACTGCAACATTAGCTGACATCACAAGCCGCAGGTAGGTTTGTGAAAGACTAGATATCCCTGGTCAGGAGGCAGAAGTGTGGCACAGTACATTCTCATTGTTCGCCATAGCTGGAGGCTGTTCTTCAACCCCATCTTTGAGTGTCAAGTGGGAAAGGTGATGGCCTAGTGGTATTATCGCTACAGAATTAATCCAGAGAGCCAGGTAATATTCCGGGAACGTGAGTTCAAATCTTGCCTTGGAATTTGGAATTAAGAATGTAACTGACATTGTCAATGGGTTCACTCATATCTTTTAGGGAAGGAAATGGCTGTCCTTACATTACACGTGACTCCAGACCCACAGCAATGTGGTTGACTCTTAACTGGCCTCTGGGCAATTAGGGGTGGGCAATAAATGCTGGCCGAGCTAGGGATGTTCACATTCTGTGAATGAATTAAAAATGAAATTCCTTGTCAATCCTGATTAAAAGAAGTAGAACCCGACATTAATGCTTTCAGTTAATGGGATTGTTCCAACAAATGCATCGGTGCTTTGTGTTCAGCCATGAGATGAAATGGAGAACAGGGAAGTATTGTTGGAGTTGAATAATTCTGTGCAGTCTTTATCACCTCACAGGGTTGGGGGCAGGCTGTATAGGTGTTGGGATAATACTGTTTTAGCCAGCCTCTCTCAAATAGGAGTGAATGTTGTCAACTTTGCGCCCCTGGGGGTTTCATCACATGATGTCTTATTGCCAACTTACCCATAACCCCTACTCTCCCATCATGGGTCACCATATGCGTCCATTGCTATGGCGCCCAGTCTTCCTGCACTAATCAGAAAGTACATCCACAATACTGAGTGGCTGGACCTTGACAGTAGTCATCGTTTTTACCAGACAAAGATAAACAAAAAAGATTGGAAGTGTGACGATGCTGTGGCTTTAAGAGGTGTATTTTGTCCTGGTTTCTTTTAAGAGAGAGATTGAACAAGAGCTGCTGAGCGGTTTGTGGTAATGTAAACAGCTTTTGTGATGCCTTAAGGATTTTTTTAAAAGTTGGAACAATAGAAGCAGCCTGGCTGGGTGTGGCCAACTGTCACAGACCAGGATTTCTGGGTTTTGCTTTTAGCTTTTCGATTCAGCAAATGCTGCTGGAGTTTTGAACAAATAGAAGCTTTTTTTTCCTCTCTCTCAGTTACAGCTAGAAGCTAGGGTTTATCTTCCTACCGTGGGCGTTGCATGTGAGAAAATCTGATTTCTGAATTTACCTTTTTGCTAAGGGGTGTGTTTGTGGGATGTTATATATTGGAACAGTTCATTAGTGATAGGTACTGTATCTATAATTCCGTTAAGTTTTCCAATAGAGTTAAGTTACTCTAAGTTCTGCATTCTTGTTGTATTTTATCTATAGTGTTTGAATGAATTGTGTTTTGCTTGATGTTGAGTAGTTTGACCAGTCGTATTGTATCTGGAACACATCTGCCTTTAAAATAAGAAATAGTTAGGGTCTAGGTTACCTTCTTAAAATATTTTGAGGGGGCCTGGTCTGGTCTATAATGGGAGAAGACCCACGGTTTGCCCCTGTTGGGGAACTAGATTTCAGTGAAATCTGCTGTATTCTCAGTCAAACCAGATGGGGTGAAAGCTGGATAATTGCTCGAGGGAGAAAAGATTAGAAGGGTCTGCTGCTGCGGTTAGATGATGAATGGTGTGGGAGGTTAATGTGGAGTGTAACACTGCAATGGATCAGTTGGGCTGAACAAATGGCTGTAGCACATGTGGTGGCCATTCAGCCTGTCTTGTCTGTGCTGCCTCTCTGCTAAAGCAGCTTGGCTCATTTCAGTTCCCAGCCTTTTCCCCATCGCTCTGCCATTTATTTTCTTGTTGGTTAATTCTCAAGTTCTTGTTTAAAGCTTTGATCAAATCTACTTCCACCGCACACTCTCGGATAGGACAGCCCAGATCCTAACTGATGGTGTATTAAAACAAAGTTTCGTCATGTTGTCTTTTGTTTTAAAATGGTCTATTACTGTGCTGTAAATTTTCTGTAATTAACTGAATTGTGCTGCACAAAGTTAGGATTTCAGTGTTAGGCTTAACACTGTAGATAGAGCCCTACTTAAAAAGGGAACCAAATAAGAACTGCAGATGTTCAGTTTTTATTTAGGATTTAACTCACTGCCATATCTCTTCTGCCCACTGTGAAGAAGTTCTGCTCCTCTGTCCGATAGGATTTCCAATCTTTTTCCTTGCCTGCTGTCATTAATTTCACTGTCGCTCCTGTGGTTTGACCAGGTATTTGCTAAAACTTGTTTCTGCAGCCACGTCACATTCCTCAGTGACCACCTCAGGCTCAGACTCAGCACCACATGGATTCCAACTCCAGTTTCATCTCTCATGCTTTCTGCCCACCCAGGATCATAGGTACCTCCGCGACGTTCAAAGCTTTCTGACGAAGGGTCACCAGACCTGAAACGTTAACTCTGATTTCCCTCCACAGATGCTGCCAGACCTGCTGAGCTTTTCCAGCAATTTCCCTTTCCGTTATTGCTGAAAGGGAGCCAGCCTTGTCACAGACACCGATTTTGTTTAAAAACCTTTTCGTCTCTTGTCTGTGTTCCCTGTAGATGGCCTCAGCGAATGACACCAAACAAGTGCAGAAGGATGCTGCAGACCAGAACTTTGACTATATGTTCAAATTGCTGATCATCGGCAACAGCAGTGTTGGCAAGACCTCATTTCTGTTTCGATATGCAGATGACTCCTTCACGTCTGCCTTTGTCAGCACAGTCGGCATTGACTTCAAAGTGAAAACTGTCTACAGAAACGAAAAGAGGGTGAAGCTGCAAATATGGGTATGTTTTGTTTGAAGGTTGAGCCGACGTGTTTCACACGCTGATACTGTTTTGTTGAATTCAGCAGCAACAGACTTAAAATAAAATTCAGTGCAGGTCTGAAATTTATGACAAGCATCAGTTTCCATCTTTCCCATCTGAACCCTTTCTCTGTACAGATGCCGAACCTCACCAGGGACGAACTCAGTTCTTTGTTGTTTTTGAAAATAAACCCACCATCAAATGAAGAACTCAACATTTAAAAAAAAATTTAAACACAGTTTTTCTAATGCTAGATGGATCTTGAACCTGGATCTCCTGGCCCAGAGATAGGGCGCTACCACTGTGCCACAAGAGCACCCTCACAATTAATGACAAACGCTGCACTCTTATCAATTTGACAGAAGAGGTGTACGGTTGCTTTAATATTGTAGTTTTTTTAAACTGCCTGTTCAAAAATGCTGTGACACACTTCTGAGACAGGTGGGACTTGAACTTGCATCTTCTAGCCCAGAGGCAGGGACACTACCACTGCTCCACAAGCACTCCCCTTTTTAAAATAGTTTAATCAATCTGTGCAAACATGTTATAACACACCTCTGGAACAGGCAGGACTTTAACCCAGTGCTCCTGGTTCAGAGGCAGGGACGCTACAACTAAAACAGACCTAAGAACTCCATTCTTTAAACATGAAAGCATCATCAGCTCTGCATTTTTTTTCGCAGTGACTTTTCTTTCTCAGATATTTATTCGAGATTTGCATTTCAGGAGGACTCTCTGTTTCAAATGGTGCCTGTCAGAGATTCTACATCTACTTGTGAGGGTAAAGGGAGCCCGATTTTTAATATCTCAAAGTCAGTCAGCACTCCCTCAGTCTGTGGGTGTGTCACATTAGATTTTGTTTCTCTGATCTCAGAGTGGGGCTTGGAACAGTCAACACTGCATTCTGGGATTCGATGTATTCCAGTTATACTATTAAACTCGTATTCCAGAGGTCTGAACTATTGTTCCAGAGAGAAATTAAATTCAGAGAATTAAATCAATCTGTGATTAAACTTCAGTATTGATCACTGATTCCTGGAAACTATCAGATTACTGTAAAATACCATCTGGTTCATTGGTTTCCTTTTAGAGAAGGAAATCTGCCATCCTTATCTGGTCTGGCCTACGTGTGATTGACTCTTAACTGCCCTCTGCATCCAGCCAGTTGTATTTGAGAAGGCAGCTCGCCAACATCTTCTCCAGGGTAATTAGGGACGGGCAATGAATACTGGCCCAGCCAGTGACCACCCCCCCCCCCATATCCTGTGAGTAAATGGAAGTGGGAGAGGAAAAGGGAGGTAGAGACTGAGGGGGTTAGTACAACTGTGGAGGTTTTAGGAAACCTTTATGCAAATTGTAGGGAGATTAGAATTAGTTTTCGTTGTCACATGTACTCAAGTACAGGAGTTCAGTGAAAAGTGTACCATGTCACCACACACGATGCCACCTTAGGTACTAAAATAGATTAGGTACAAAAATAGAAGAATAAAACATAAAACCGAAAGTTCCACATTATAGTTCTTCATAGTATAAAGTAGGAAAATAAAGTTAAAAGGTTATTGAGGCAATGGGGTTTGAAAACCATGATTTTTCTGTTGGTCAAAAGATACTTGCTCCGTGAAGACTACATTATCAAGTCCCATTTCTAAGGCATGTCTTTGTAGAATGAGATACGTTTAACACAGACTGTAAAATTGCAACGAAGCTATTTTACAACTGCAGTCGTGTCTGATGTTTGGTCCTGTGACAGTCTAGGCAACAATGCAGGGAGCCACTTGACTGTTTGCTCAGCTGGTGGGTCTTGCCAGAATCCTAGTGCTATATGATCCAAGGTAGTGGGGGGGGAAGCTGTCAGTCCTGCACTTGGTAGGAGTTACACTGCAGCCTTGTGACTGCAGAAGGCACTCCAGTCCTTCAGATGTCGGCAGTCTGGTGTGGCTGGAATCCAGGAAGTAACATCGGGGAATGTGCGGAGGCCCCATCCATCCGCCCAAAAAATAAACCTGTTATTGTCCTTGATGGGCGGGTGTGCAAAATCCGGGCTGACTCACTTATTAAACACTCGTAAAGTTCAGTGTGTGCAGAGATAGGGAGGAGAGGTGGGCGATGGCTGTAGGAAGGAGCTGTTAACGCCACAAGAACACTGAAAGAAAATAGCCTGGCTCCTTAAAATGAGCAGCTCGCTGCTATACAAGGGGGAAATGAGATTATGTTTTGCTGTGTGTGTATTTTTTTAAAACTGATTTGTGACTCTCCTGTTCTCTGACTATCTGGCTGCGTGCCCAGTTGTCATTGGTAATAGCACTCTACAAAGGGCCAGCACTGGCAAATTGTAGTTCATTCATTCATTCATTACGAGTGCTGATACAGCAAGGGAACTTAATCAAAAATATCCTGAAAACGGTGACTTCAACTGCGGTTGGCCTGAAGGCTTAAACTTGTTGTTGTCAGGTTTTTGAGAAGGAACAGGTTTGACATGAATTGAGTATTGTTGCTATGTGAACAGTTGAACCACAGTTATAGAAGAGATGGATATGAGTTCCGAATTCATTAAAAACAAGGAGGAGAGAGATAGTAGGAACTGCAGATGCTGGAGAAGGGTCTAGGCCCGAAACGTCAGCTTTCTTGCTCCTCTGATGCTGCTTGGCCTGCTGCGTTCATCCAGCTCTACACCTTGTTATCTAGGAGAGAGAGAGACTCAAGACTGCAGTCCTCAAATCTACATGGTTTGTCTTCAGAATTTTCAGTTGGAAGGCCTTTGTTGTGAGGATGAGCATGTTAGATTTCAGGGTGGCACAGTGGCCCAGGAAAGTACTGCTGCCTCGCAGCACCAGGGACCTGGGTTCAATTCCACCCTCAGGTGACCCTCTGTGTAGAGTTTGCACATTCTCCCCGTGTCTGTGTGGGTTTCCTCCAGGTGCTCCGGTTTCCTCCCACAGCCTAAAGATGTGCAGGTTAGGTGGATTGGGTGTGCTAAATTGCCCATACCATCCAGGGATGTGCAGGCTAGGTGGGTTAGCCATGGGACATGTTGGGTTAGAGGGGTGGGGTGAATCTGGGTGGGATGATGTTTGGAGGATTGGTGTGAACTTGATGGGCCAAATGCCATGTTGTAGGGATTCTATTCTATTTTGGAATGTATTCAATCTGTTACCGTTCACAACAGCACTGTGTATTAGGCGAGATGGTGGCGTAGCAGTGATATCACTGAATTGGCAATCCAGAGACTCAGGCGAATGCTGCGCACACGTGGCAGCTGGTGGAAATTAAAATTAATTAAACACAAAAGCAAAATCTGGGTTACTGTCAATTGTCATACAAACATTTCTGGTTCACTCATGTCCTTTTTTTTTAAAAGGGAAGGAAATCAGCCATCTTGACCTGGTCTGGCCTACATGTGACTCCAGAACCACAGCTAAGTGTTTGGCACTTAATTGGCCCTAAGGGCAACTAGGGATGGGCATCAAATACTGCTGGCCTTGCCCAGTGATGCATGAATTTCATGAACAAATATATGGGCAGCATGGTGGCTGAGTGGTTAGCACTGCTGCCTCACAGCACCAGGGACCTGGGTTCAATTCTACCCTTGGGTTATTGTCTGTATGGAGTGTGCATGTCCTCGCCATATCTGTGTGGGTTTTCACTGGGTGCTCTGGTTTCGTTCAAAGATATGCAGGTTTGGTGCATTGGCTATGCTAAATTGCCCATTGTGTTTAGGGATGTATGGGTTAGCCATGGGATGCTCTTCAGGGGTTTGTTGTGGCCTGTTTCCACACTGTAGGGATTCTATGGAACATTCTGAAAACAAATAGATGCTGACATTATGGTATCATCTCTTTTATGAGCCATGATAACTTGCAGTTATAGTACACAACCTGCACAGACTACTATACCATAATAACCCTTTACTATATTGCTGACATTTTTAGATTTTTATTTTAACCAACCTGTTCAGCCCTGGTCTGGAACTTGGGCTTTCTTGCACAGAGGTAGGGTCACTACCACTGCACCACAAGAACACTCTATTCCAGAGATGTTGATTATTTTTAATGAAACTGTTCAGAGATGTTATAACATGCCTCGGGAGCAGTTGGGACTTGAACCAGGGACCAAGAGCTGACGATATTACAGCTGTACCGCAAGACCCTAATATTTGCTGCCTTATATTAATGTGATGGAGTGATCTGAATGTGGGGGAGATGTTCAAATCTTTGCTCCTCCTCTGATGTGCTAGAATAGAGTGATTTGAAGTGTTGAATTACCCAATCCCTATTCATCTTGCCAATCTCTTGACTTCAGCAAATTGATCAATAAAGTGCTGGCTACTGAGTAAATGAGAGACAGCTGCGCACCAACAGTGTTTAATAACTTAACACTGATCTTATCAGTTTTAAAAATAGAAAATTGAGAGTGATCACAAGCTACCAGTCACTGACCCAAAATACACTGTGTGGAAACATTTCAGTATTTTAAAGTCTTGAATTAAGCTTGCATCCTGTCATTTTTATTATTAATATTGTCATGTTTTGAGACCAAATTAGTCTCCTGGTTTGCAAAATGTGGTAGCTGTCAAAGCAGGAACATATTTAAAGGAGTTTTGAGAATGTAAGAGTTACTGTGTATCCTACCCATCTCGCATGAGGGACCAACATTAAAGAATAAGGGCTCGAATGAAGAGCTACACCAGAGTTCCCAATCTTGCAAAATCACTCTTGCCCATGCATGTTACTAGGGTATGCTATGAAAGAAAGACATATGTTTATATAGTGCCTGTCATGATCGCAGAATGTCTTCCAATGCTGTACAGCCAATGGAGTACTATTGAAGTTCAGTCATTGTTGTAATGCAGCAAACATGGCCGCCAAATTGTGCATAGCAAGCTCCCATGAACAGCAGTATGACAACAATCAGTTAATGTGTGATGGTTCTTGTGATGTTGACTAGAGGAATAAATATTGGCCTGGATCCTGCAGAGAGCT